TCGCCATCTTGGCAGCGCGTCACTCCTGGATAATCGAAAATGGGCAAAGAGGCGGGAGCTGGCTGCTGAAACCACGCCCACCTATAGCTCGACGGAGGTGACAGCAGCAGCAATCCACCTGTCACTCAAGTGGCCGCGCCCTTAATTATGCAGAACTTTAAGGCTTAATATAATTTAAACGGATGAGTTATAAAAAAAAATCACCCCCCTCACAGTTGTCATGAAGGGCAAAATTAGATATATAGACCAAAATCATTTTTTGAACCAGGCTGTAAACGTTTTTTTTCTGCTGTAAAGTTGGGCATTTTAACATGGGGAGTCTATGGGATTGACTCCCTTTTGCAGCCAGCCTCTAGCGGCCAGTTGAAGAATTACAGTTTAAGTCACTTCCGTGTTGGCTTCACTAGAGAGAGCGGGAGGTTACCGCTTGGTAAGAACACAGAGATCAGTCTAACTGTGACAAATATCTTAGTTGGTGACAATCATTATATTACCAATATCAGTTTACACGTCGCCATCTCGGTAAAACTAGTCATGCATGCAAGTAAAGCTCCTATCTACTTGAACACGAAAATTGGAAATCTCCCAAAAAAATTATTCTCTACAAAACAGGTTGTTCAGCAGGGGTTTTCATAGTGGGGTCTCTAGACTCCCGGGGGCCTGCAAGAAAGTGCTAGGGGATCTGCAGGAAATTTGAGAGAAAATGCATTTTTAATACATTTTTGTAATGCAGTTTTTTTTTATTAAATGTGTGTAATGTTATTTATTGTTAGTTTTTATTTTTAAAAAATCTAAAAGTTTTTTTTGTTGTTATTAATTGTTTTAGTTATTTTTTGTCATGAAAAATCATGAATTGATTTTATTCTATTGACAGCCCTCGTTTTTAACAGTAAGAAATAAAACCTGAAATCTGCATGAAATATAAAATAATAATATAATATATTTTTGTTTCTATATATATATATATATATATATATATATATAGTTTTGTGAAAAATGAATAGAATAGAATAGAAATATGTAGTACAGAAATAGAAATATAAGAAATATTTCCAAGTTAATCAAGTTACCGTTCAGGTTTATAATTTAGTTTATTAATATATGTATATTTTAATAATTTATTTTAGCTTTAGTACAAATGACTATTTAAAAGCACATTTTTTAACATTTTCAAAAATGTGTTTATAGTAACAATTATCTTAGCCTGCTATTCAAGTATATCAGGTCATATACTTGAATATGAAAAAGAGATGGAAATACATCCAGCATATTCATTTTTATATGAGTGGTCTGTTTTGTCCTCCTTATCCACCCTATTTTTCCCGACGAGCCGCCACTGATAATTTGTCAATTTAATGTATCTGGCTTGCAGATTATGAACACAGTGGTTTGTAGTGCAAACAGTTTTACAGTTGACTGCACTTTGTTATTCTTCTCGTTATTTCCCTACAGCGCATTACTGAGAAATAAGGTGGATACTGCTTCTGGAATTACACATCTGCTGTTCATCTATGTAATGTGTAAGGAATAATTGACGACGTGGCCATTACACCTCGGGTGTGCATTATTTTTCTAATAATTCAACGGCCCGGAGTCAATTATTCCGCTTATATTACGGTTACCACACCTCAAGACATCGATCAGATGATATATTTAAAGGGATTCGTCCGGTTTTTGTACTTAAATCGCTATTGTGAGTAGGATTATTTCTTC